AGGCAGAAATGTGTGTGGAGAAAACAGAAGTGGTGAGGGCATGGAGGAGGCCCTGTGCAAAGCAAGGAGAGAAACACCTGAAGCTGAGTTTGAGCAGGAAGTATGCTACAGTCTCTTCTCCTTGTCCTATATAACACACATGCAGAAGTAAAAAGGAAGATACTCTTCTAATTATTTGGCTTGTTATTTTTCTTCTTCATTGTAGTGCTGGGGCAGAAGGGGAGAATGATAAGTCATGATATAGTCTAACTGTCCCTAGCGCATATGGGCAGTGCAGGTCTGAATTTATTTCCAGTGCTTTCTAACTGTTGAGTGACTGGCATTGCAGTCTAAATACATGTGTATTCCTGTGAGTGGTGTTACAGAAAGAAATGTCTACATCAATCCAAGCATTTGCTCTGTTGCAAGCATCTTGTTAGACTATACCTCCCTCAGCAGGAGTTGGTATAAATGAAATGAGGGATACCTGTTTCCCTGCTTAAATCAGAAGGCAAGGGAAGGGATACTTTTGGAGCAGGATAGACAGGAGGCACTATAAAGCTGGTAAACAAACAAACAAAAAGCCCTAGAGTTGCCAGCCGTTGCATTGCCACATAGCAATATTAGAAAGCTGAAGGTAGCTGGTAAGCTGTGGAGCTATGCTGTGATGCAAAGCAGGTCTGGGATTTGTGTGTCTTTCCCTGGTACCAACCTTGTCGTGGAGAAGCGGAGGGAGGAAGCCTGTAGCCCTGATGCCTTTAGAGAGGCCGGGATGGGGACATGAGGGTGAGGTGAGTACGTGCCCTGAGGCGGCACAGGCGCCTCTCGCTTGTGGGGGAGGCTGAGCCTGCTCGGAGCTAAGAGCTGGAGTGAGGGCAGAGAGCACGGCAATGGCTCTAATGCGCTTAGGGAGATAAATTAGGCTGCTGCTGATCCCTCTTTTTACTGCTGCCGCTTCTAGTGTTTGCATGGGAGCAAAAGGATATGGAGGAAACTGGGAAGTCCAGGGAAAATGTGAGGAGTGTGGTATGAGCTCGTGGGGAGGTAGAGTCGGAGCTGCAATACTTTATGGCTGTTCATCCAGCCTCTCTCCAGACAACACAGATCTAAGTAAAGACAGCCGAGGAGGTGTGGGGGAGAGATGTAGAAGTTTTGGCAGGCTAGGTGAAGAATAAGTGGGGGAAAAAGCAACAGGGCATGGGATGAATTCCCTTCATGTGCGAGAGTGGGAGGAATTCTTCATTTGTCTTGACCTGTTAGCAAAGACAATATTTTTCTAGCACGGTAGAACCTGGAAAAGTTACATCCAGAACACAGATAAAATCTTTTCTCTTACATCAGTAGCTCTTCTACCCAGCCCAAGCAGCTGTTTTCCAACACGCACGCTCTCCAGCACCTGCCTCGTGTGTGTGTGTGTGTGTGAAAGCCTGCAAGGGTTTGTTTTCATTTACTTTGAGATTTGCTGGAGCAGGTTGCCTTTAAGAGCATGATGTAAACTGGGCATTAAATTGGATTGCTAATTCAAAATATATCTGCTACATCAAGAAATGTGCTTAAAAAAAGAATAGAACTTGTGCATTTAGCATTCCGTTTCTCTGCTGGGGAGGAAACCTTTCTGTGTATTTGGCAAAAACTGGCAAATTATGTACAAATGTAGTAAGGCTTGCATGGTCTGGTTATAACCGAGGCTTGTACGAGTGGATAAGCGTGGGCAGTGCAGTCCCTACAGCTAATTTTATGCATCACCATTTCTGTGTTCCAGCCACATGTTGCACGCTGTGGCCAGGCTTTGGCGATGTGTCCCAAGATTTTTGTGACTCTAAGATGGAGCTGACAAATGACAACTTCTACTGACATTCCAACTAGAATTAGAGGTTTTTGATTAATCTTTAGGAGTGTGGCATGATCAGCACTAATAACGTATGTCCTCCAGATCAGAGGAGGTCAGGCTGTTGCATGTGGGCCTTGGGAGCGTTTGGAAACGCGCCTGGCAGGGGTTTGCTGAAGATGCATGTGCGTGGCGGTATAGGTGTCAGCAGGACACCGGCCTGCTCAGCATATCACACCTGCTTCACTCTGTAGGTTTGTTGCACAGGAGTTGCACTCAAGCATGGAGCAGTTTTTGCCTGCCCTGGTGTTTAATACCCCTCTGTTAGGAGACTGGTAGAGAACCAGGGGCAGTAATTTTGCCCAGCCATGTTTTGCTTGCAATATTTGTGCCACCAGAATGTGTTGATACTGATTTGCTTGCTTCCAGAAGTGGTTATGGACCTCCAGAAGTACTCTCTAGGGGAGCAGCTTGTGTGAGCTCTCCCTGCTGAGCTTCAAGCAGAAGTTTATGCCTTTCTAATTGCTGGTTTGATCTTATGCAGCTGTTTTTTGCCTTAAGTGGTTTATGGTGCCTTTAAGGAATAGAGTTATAAGGGTGGCAGCTTCCTTCAAGGGGAGGAAGGAATGGGGACAGTAGTGTCTGCTACTGCCCTGCTCCATCCAGAAGATGCTGCCAACCAGCCCATTCACTGCTCAAGTGCTTCTATTAATCTGCTTTGAGCTTAGGAAACAAGGAAGCTCAGAAAGTCTCTCTGAAGGCAGCCCTTGGACTGCTGCTTTGAGAAGTGTGAATTGCCTCAGATGAGGAAACTTCACAATTCACTTCAGAGTTGTCATTTTTAGGGAGGAGGTTTTTTGTTTGTTTGTTTAGTATAGTGCTGCAGGGAAAAGTGTTAAAAGCAAAGATTACCTGCTAAATTCCACTGTTGCAGTCTCATGCAGCTGACCTCCCTTGGAGGGAAAGCCTGAGACCTGTGCTTGGAGGGTTTGGAGGCTGTCTTGCTGAAGTGCCAAGTTCGTGTGCTATGAAACGCAAACCCATCAGCTTTCTTTGGTTGCAGAAGCACTTGATGAAACATCCAGCGTGGTGGTTTGGTGAGCGGGTGGAGCCTGTGACAAGGCTGATCTCCCCTCTGTGCCCAGCCAACTACACCTAAACGTGCGGGAAATGTGGACTGTTGAATAGTGGTATCCTCTTCTAGCAAAACTGGAAAAACTAGGAACGGATAAGAATTTCTAGCTTGGTGCCTGTTGGACTTGGTGATGTAAAATTTACTTCAAACTTTTAAAAATCAGGGCATGCTTTGCAAACAGTAACTTTCTTTACACTGTGGAAGGTGCACAGGTGGAGTTATCCAATACATGGTGGCTGTTCCCTTTTCCTCTGCCCAGCTCAAAGGAAAATGCCATCCCCTGTTCCTGAGAAGGGCATTTCAGGTACTCCTGCCTTTGGATCTGTATTGGGGCACTGTACTGAAGTAGGTGTTTGCCCTGCTAGTGGTATTTTGGCAGCTGCTTTGTCTGCTTGTCTTTTCTTTGTAAACGGTGAATTAAGTTCCTCCTACTGGAGTTTAGCTGAAATGATTATTTTGAAGCATTGCTTACTTGAAAGGAATAACTAAAGAGTTGGTGCTACCTCTGAGCTTTTACGCCTGCCAAGCTGTCAGTGTCTAGAAGGACTGACTTGCACTAATGCTGCGTCAGAGGTCAGGCTTGACGTGGCAAACCAGCTGCTCCTGAGGTTATTCTTCTATTTCTTTGCCCCCTTTACTACTTTCTAGTGAAGTTAGGAAGTGTGACACCTCTTTAAGACAGACGTGTAAGGGGACTGTTGATTTATCTGCTTCTGCCTCATTGCATAGTGTGCTAGTGACTTGTCAAATGCATTTGTTGGCAGATACTTTCCTGAGTCTTTTGAAATTTCAGAATGCATTTTTTTTTTCTTCTTCTTGAAAAGCATACATTGACTGTGAAATTACAAAAGTTGGTACATTCCAGCAGCATCTTAGTTCTGCAGAGATTTTTTGCAAATCCTCTCTTTGGCAAGATTTTGGGCAGAAGCTGGAGGAAGATGACTTGTGTAGTGACCTCCTTGATTTATGATCAGGTTATTACATCTAGAGCGGGAAAGATGGAGAACAAAACATTTTCAGACATATGTACAAGAAACATATGTAGTTCCTTGAATAGGAAAAAGAGAAGGAAAACCAACTGGGAATTCTTCGTTGCTTCTCAACTCGGCTGGTAAAATCTTCTCTAAGGGTCTTAATACATTTCAGCATAGTGTGGAGGCTGGCTAACATCTGCATTTGTTGAGCTTTACATGCCATAATATGAGACTCTATTTCTGAATGATTTAAATTGTTGATTTTAGTAAAGTTGAACAAAGACCTCCTCAGCTTCCAAAAGAGGGTCTAATAGACCATCATCAATAGACCCATTGGCAAAAACAAACAGACAAACAAAAAACCACCCTGATAAATCTTCCTGCCGATATTAACTAAGGAAGTTTCCCAAGCAAACAGTTCTATTAAAACATGGAAGAATTAATGCTACAGTTGATTTGTCTGTTCAGAGTGCTTAATGGTTGTCAGATCACAAGCCAAAATTATCTACGGATGCCTTTCAGTATCGAATTATGCATGTCAGGAAACCGCTTCAACTAACTGCTTGCAATTCTGCATGCTTCCAATCTCAGGTATTTGATGCTGGTGACTACTTTGGGATAATGCAAGTAGAAGAGGTGGATGAGGAGGAAGAAGCTGAGGAGGAACTGGAAGCACAAGTGAAAAAGAAACCAAATCCTGGAAATGATTCTTGTTTCAAAGTGATCATAACAAATGAGAATGGACTTCAAGCCTCCAATCCAGACAGGTGAGCAGTGATTTCCTAACTATTGTACAATCTTTGATAGTAGCCTCAAACCCCAAAATAGTGACACATATGTGCAGTTTGCTTAAACTTGTTTGATCCTGTTCAGAAAGCCCCTGTTTTTCTTACTATAAAGTATAACTGCCTGTTTCAATAAGTATAAATAATCTACATGCTGTAAGGCATATTTTGCGAAAATACTTGTGGTGCAATGTCTTATGTTGTTATTCTTTAAAATGTGCAGGAGAGTGCTTAGAAATCAGTCAGACTTGTAACAAACTCCTTAAATAATATCAAAACTTTATATTTCTGAGTCTGTGTGACCCTGGGGAAAAAAAAAAAAAAACGTCCTCCACCAAACTCCAAACTGTGATTGTGAGATGAAGCTTAAGATCTTCTGGAGCTCTAAGCACCGTTCTGTTCAGTTCTATAACAGTTATTTTCCAGATCATTCATCATCTAGAATTTAGATTGTTTTTACTCATCAAGGCTAATTTTAGCTGAACCACCAATGCAGAGCACAGATACCCACCCACCTTTACATGCCAGCTTTAACCAAAGTCATTGTCTTTCTAAAACTGAGGGGGAAAAAACCTTTAAGTTATGAACTCTAAACCCTCCTGCAATAAGCATGGATTTCCTTGCAGCATTGAGTTGTGTATGAAGGTGGGAGCAGAATACCAACGCACGTGTCTGTGAACTCTGGTTTGAAACAGATTTCAAAAATCCTTCCCTTTAGCACTCTTTGGTGTCTTTAATTTCAAACTTAAATTAAATTTCCTCTTTATATGAAATTTGAGATATGATAATTGGTCAAGGGTATTCAATGGACGTGACAGGAGACTTATATTAAACTTTACCAAGTGTGTTTTGGTGGTGTTTTCCCCTCTCTCATCCTTTATGTAGAATTCTTTTTTTTCTCTCATTTAGTTCACTAAGAAGATGAAACCAAAATTTTGAGATCTCTTCTGTTTAAATATTTGTGCTTTCACTGTAAACATCAGGAAGCATAAATGAGGCTTGTATTTAAGGGAAACTTGCCAGTCATTTGTGGTTTTGTTTAGTTTTAGCTTGACAGTTCTTTTAAAACAATACATTTTTTTTTCTTTCTTCTCCCAAATCCCTGAAAGTCTAAAAAAGCCAAGCCTTTTTTTCTTATGGGCAAGTAATACAGGCTTGTGATGATCTCTGCTTATTTTTATGTGTAGCTGTAGATGTTAGAGTTCACCAGTAATGAGATATCTGAATATTGTTACAAAATGTAGTGTTTTCCTCCTTCAGGCAAGAATTTCAAGTTGATGCAGTGGAGATAATGATGACCAAAGGGAAAAAATTCTCGTGTCTTGGGTTATTAAAGGGATCTGGAGATACAAACTGTGTGCTCTGCTCTCTGCTTGCACCTCATCTTCCCAGAAATAATTACTAATGTGCAACTTGCTTCCTGGAACAAGAAGTGTAAATTAAGCCACAATGTTATGTCTAGGAAGTTGTTCTCATTCTTTTGTGTCACAGTGTACACTCTAGGAGTTACTTTGGGAGTAGGAAAAGAAGTAGTTGTCCTAAGTGTACAAGGAACTGTAGCCCTTATTCAGGGGAGCCTTTGGCTGTGTAAAATTGCATTGTTGTAACGTTACTGAAACCTCTTGAAGCATTTTCCTCATTGACCACGCCTGGACGTACCGCATCGACCATGCCCGGCAGCAGCTGCTCCATGTCCCCGGCTTGCTTCACAGGATGGCAAATCTCATGGGGATTGACTTCCACGGAGAGGTCCCTGACGAGGGCAGTATAGAGCAAGTGCTGCAGGAAATGTGGAAATACAACCAGACCTACCAGCTTTCTCAAGGAGTAAGTCTCCAAAGCCTGAATGTTCGGATGCTAAAGAGTTCTAAGGAGTTCTGTGTGAAGGCATTGCAATATATGGCTATTAAAGATATATCTTAATACTAGTAAAAGTTCCTTTACTGACATTTCAGAACAGACTTGAAAGGAGAGTGAGTGTCTTGTAGTCCTAAAACGTGCCATGGTTTGCTACCAACTTTCTAATAAGTACTTGGAGTATTCCCCTTAGCTTTGAGGGATGTTTATTTTGTTTTTTAACGGAGGGGAAGAGCAGGATGCAAAACAACAGGGCTTGAAAGATCTGATTGTGTGTTGTGGGTCTGGGCCTTTTTCCCGACTCCTAAAAATTTCTCATAATGAAGGTAAGAGTCCCACTTGAATCAGCTGTCTTACGCAGAAGTGATCTGTCAGCAGCCATGTTCACAGCCTTCTGCAGTGCTGTATATACCAAGGGTGTGTTTCTGTTTTCCAATAACTTAACTTCCTGGCTTGTATTTGACAGCAGCTGATTTTCCACAGCATGTAATATTAGTTCACCCTCAGGCCCTTCTGGTGTTGAACAGCTAACTTCAAGACAGAGTCTTCAGTAGGTTTCTGGGGGTAGCTTGTACCAGGAGCTGCTGCCTGCAGATAGAGTAGATCAGACCACAGCAGGTTTGTCTCCCTTTGGCCTACGCAGCCTTTCAGCACAATCCTTGCAGGTCTCGAGCTTTCAAATACCCGCACATGCATACATGTTGTCTCATGTCTGTTGTTTTGTTTTTTCTGTCTCATGTTTTAAACATGTCTGTTTAAAATTCTCTCATCATGGACTGTGATATAGCTCCCAGGATTTTTTTTTTTTGGTCCTTTGTGTTAATGAGGAAAAAGGTAAATTCTCAGGGCCAAGCTCTATGCAGAATGGACAGGGCCTGTGCCTTTTATCAGGAGTTAACCTTGAAGAGTGAGAGTATGACCAGCCTGCTCCACTTAACTCAGGAACCCAAGATTGTTCTCTGCCCTGCAGCACACACGTTATCAGGGTAGGTGTTGACTTCATGGTAGTATCAGGCCTGAAAAAAAATCTCTGTGAAAGGAATTCATGGTGGTTGTTTTTTGTGTTTTTTCTTTAAGCAAAATGCAGATCCAAACAGTGCCCCTTGTCTTTCTACCCTGTGCCTTTCTTCCCATCTTGTCATGAATAGCTCATGAATCAGGTGGGATTACCTGTGTTATCAATTTAAAAGTGCTTTCCTAGAAAATGATTCATGCAACCTGTAGCTGAACCTGGCCTCTCTTCCTCTTCCTGGCGCTGCACTGCTTGCATAACTGAAGTCATTTGCAGCTCCTCCATTTCCTTCTCTTTGTGCCTCTCTCTTCTGCATCTGTGAAAGACAGGCAACAGTATTACTAGGAAACTTAAGCTTTATTCATTCACTTGGGATTTTATCGTGAGGAGGAAAGTATGAGACTGCTGGAGCTGCATCACAGAGAGCTGTTGCTGGGGATTCTGCTGTAGTCCCATCCTACAGCTCTATATTCCTCCTCAGCTCAATGCAAACTGGTACCAAAAGAAACTATGAGAAAACTAACTCTACAAAAAAGACCTACATCCTTCTGCTGGTTTAGCTCCCTCAACTGGCTTGTTTGGTACAGGGGATATGGGACTGCTAAGCGGTAGCGGTAGCCAAGGAAAGAAAATGAGAAAATGCAGCTGGGTCGGGAACTGGCTTGTCTGTTTTCACTGTGGTTGGAGGCTAGACTGGCTTAGCCTCCAGCAGGAGCAATATTCCCTACTTGCCACCTGCCCAGAGCCTTGGGAAACAGGGAAGAGCTGCAGGGTGTCCTGCGGTGCTTGTCTAGCGCTGGGTACGTGCGGGCTGTCTCACTTCTCCTTTCACAGACCGCCGAGGAGAAGGTTCCTGTGTGGTACATTATGGATGAATTTGGGTCACGCATTCAGCATTCGGATCAGCCTAGCTTTGCAACAGCACCTTTATTTTATATGCCTCAGCAAATCGCATATACTCTTCTCTGGCCTTTGAGAGACCTGGAAACGGGTGGTAAGCATCCTTGCCATGCATTTTTCTTTTCATCCTCACAACAGGAAATAGGTCACATTCTCATAAATCATTGAGCTCCAAAATATAAAATGCCTGAATGTTTGTAGTTCTATGGAATTAAAATGTTTTGTCTTGAGTTTCTAGCACTATAGCTTATGTGAGATGAAGGCCGTTATCTGTCCAAAATCAAACTGGTGTTTTATTGTCAGAGAACTTCATCTTGCATCACTGTTCTAATATAAAAACTGAGTCAGGCATCTGAGAATATTTTTAAAAAGCTTTCTCAAAACATCTGTTTGTAGTTGTGAGTCACAGAGCCACGTACTTGAAGTTGGGCAATGCCAGACTAACCATTTGTTTCTGTAATCCTGTTTGGGGCCTCCCTTATGTGCCCATCATGTAGAAGGGATGCCCTACATTAAGCTAGCTGGCTGGCTGGCAACTAAAGCTTGCAACCCAAATAATACCCTTTTTAATGTAGTTCCTAATTCTGTCTAATTTTGCATTTGAATCACCACAGTTGTGATAATACTCATTGTTAAGCTGTCATTTGTGTGATGTGGCACAAGGAAGACTTTCATTGGAAAACGAAAGGCAGTTCCTAACAGACTCTTATTCTGCCACAGATGAGGTAACTCGTGACTATGCTTATGGGGAAACCGATCGCTTGATCAGGAAATGTGTCTTGTTACCGTGGGTGCCTACTGAAGTGGTGGACGTCAGCTGTTTCACCCCAGAGCCATCGGATGAGCATTACCAGGTATAGTTTTATCAACCCTCCTCTTTACCCCTCTTTTAAGAAGAAACAGTATCTGAGATCATTGATGATTGCAAATATTCTGATTTTGCTTCGTTCTAGTTTGAAGATTGATAGGAGTGTTACATATGAACTAAAATCTAAATCATTTCAAATAGAGCATGGTGAGATGAGAAATATTTTATACATAACATATAACTGTTCCAAAACTGAAGTAACACAACCCATCTCTATTATGTGAGCTTGTCTATTCTATTTTGTACTAGAGATATGATGTTGTCTAAAAATAATTTGTGCTCATAAAACATGCTGCAAAATATTACATGTAAGGTAGCTATTTTTCAGTTAGATATTGCAGACATTGTCTAACAGACTTACACTGTTGAATTTATTAGTATAGCACTTCATGTCAGTATTGAATTGCAGGAATTTTATGTTATTTACATAGCAAGTACATATACTTTTCAGGCTAGTTGTGCATTTCATGTTGTGATTTAGAACCATTAAGCATTGTAACAGAGACAGCATCTTTAATTTGATGGCCCTGTTAAGTCATTGTCTGTTGTTTATTGTTGAAACTAATGCTGTTCGGAATCTCTCCTTCTCATGCGACGAACCTGCAGTAGATCCCTTTTTAATAAAATATATATATATGTATATATATGTGTGTGTATGTATATGTATATGTGTATATATATATATATATATATATAAAAGGAGCGTGATTCCTGATGCATAAGAGGATGCTGTACTGGCTGCTACTTGTTTTCAAAGTGCAGCTTTTAAAGATGTGTCCATAGTGCCAGCAGTGTTATAATTGAGGATGGGCAAAACCTGCTGGGTGTGAAAACTCAATGGAAGTATCAACCAATTGAAAGAGGATGCTGTGCTGGCTGCTACTTGTTTTCAAAGTGCAGCTTTTAAAGATGTGTCCATAGTGCCAGCAGTGTTATAATTGAGGATGGGCAAAACCTGCTGGGTGTGAAAACTCAATGGAAGTATCAACCAATTGAGCTTTCTTTGACTCAAGAGCATTTAGTTGCAGATTAAAGTCATAGAGTGGTGACAGACCAGTGGAAAACTGCTTAGCAAATAGCATAACCTTAAACACTGAAATAAGAAGCCTAGAATGAGATATGAAGTCCCTGGCATTTCTGCAGCCCATATTTTTGTAAGCACAAAAGCTGCATGCACAGAAGTGTGCACACAAGTTCAGGTATCTGTTTGTAGCATTAACATGTGAGCCAGCAACTTTGCAGAGAACTGCAGTTGTGTGAAAATGTTTTTAAGGATGTATGCAAGTCATACCATTTCAAATTTAACTTTGCTGCTATCTCTTTGCAGTATCTGCAGCTCTGAGTGTTTTATTTCTCTATGCAAGTAACTGGGTAGCTAAATTGGCTGTCTTGTTTTTACTGTGGCTTCTTCCTTGTCTTTGTAATGAGAAATGTAACTAGTTAACTTAGCTAATTTTCTTTAAATAAATCTGAAAGCTGCTCATTTTCTGCTTAGAAGAGTCACAGAATCATTACAATTACATCATTGCTTAACTTCCTGTTTTCTGTCTTATTGCCTTTTTCAGTTTTTCAGCACAGACCACAAAGGTTATAACTGAGCAGTACCATAGGTAATGATTGAAGTAATCATTGCAGAAACCAGTGTCAGAGGAGATGATGCTTTATTAAATGTCTGGGGTGGGTTAAGCATCTTTTTGGGCACTAGAGCAGCTGCTGTTCTTTGTTTGAGTCGCAGAAAAAAGACAGTAATTAATTTTCTGGTAGTGTTCTGACAATTGTGGTCTTGAAAGTACGGGCTCCCTTCTTAGTGATGCCAGGAATTATTTTGTATTTGTATTGTCCAATCTATGCTAGAAGATGATGTCGAGGATCTTTGATTAGGATTTTGGTTTTGTTTGTATTTTCCAGTATTTATGACTTCATTGCCTGTAACGGGCCCTAAAGGTAAAGGGGGACGTGTCAGGCTGGGCAGGCATTGCAGAGCTGCAGCTGCTCTGGTTTTCAGAGACACACTTCTCCCTTCCTAGGCTTTTGTAAGGAGCTACCTCCTTGGGCAGGGTATCACCAGTGACCCAGAAGTGGTGTCTTTACATTTACCAGCCAGAGAGGTTGTAAAAGATGGAGTGAATTTTGTTTATTTATTTTTTTTATTTTTAAGTATGCTTTTTTGCTTACTGCAAAAAAACTGCCCGCTGATTTCTACAGGAGCGGAGCTAGGTTTCAACCTCCTGTGTAATCTTTTTTTTCAGTATCTTTAATACAAAAACAAGACTCAGTCTGCCACTTTGTTGGCAGTAGAGTTTGTCTTTTAGTGCTCGCAAGCATATACGAATTGGTGCTTTATGGAAAGCGTAGGAGAAGCAGGATTTTATGCCATGTTGATAATCCCTCACATCTAAGCCATTTTACTACTACTTTTTTTCACTAATGGCCTTTAACCTCTGATTCCCCTCTGCCTTTACACTTATTTTGACTTTTCTGAGCAGAGTTTTGCCCAGCATAATACACTTCTCAAAATGTAGCTCCAGTGGAGTTCACTTGAGCCAAAGACAGGAACAAGTCAGATGTACAGCCGGACTGTCACTTCTACCATCTTTACAAATGCTACTGTACACTTACATTTATATATAAAAAGAGATGGGGAACTGCAGAGAATGAGCTGAGGAAGATTGGCATTTTGGGGAAACTTTAATAGGCTAATTTAATAAAAGCACTTCGATGAACACTTTGTCATATTAAATATTTTACCTCTAGCTTGTTTTTAAAAGCTGAATTAATTATTTCTCAATTATTTCTCTCATAACCTGATTATTTCTCTCATAGACCTGACTCATACACCAAGTTTAGTGTAAATTACTGTTCATGTCCCCTGGATGTTATGGAGTTTGACCCAAGTTGATCATTTATTCCACCTAGTATTAACTTTTTGTGGGTTTTGTCTTTTCAGGCTATTTTAACAGAAAACAAGGAGAAATTGCCTATAGAAATAAAGCCATCGGTTTATGCCGAAGACAAAGTTTTCAAGTACGTATCTGCGAACAAAATACTTTCTTCCCAGCATAAGTAGTTGCAGTGTGCTGATCAATGTTTTTCCAGCTTTGAATGCCAGAGGCAAGTTAATGCATTTTTATGTGGTAACTTGCTTAAAACTTCAACTTGCAAGTTTCTCTTGTGGGATTTTTAGTATATGGATTGTTGTTTACTGTTCTAGAAAGAGTTTAGAGTTTTAAATAAGTGTCACCTTCTGGGTGAAAGAAAAGTTGCATAATACTGTAGTGTTGGACTTGTTTTCACTAGGGAGTGAAATAGGAATTCTGTGCTATTTTTCAAGTTTTAAATTTGAAAGTGTACTTTACTACAAGAATGCAGAAGATGGTCGGAACCTACTTTATAAAAAAGCTGAAAAAAGCACTGCAAAGATAAGGGATTGTAAAGCACTTTGGACTGAGCAGAAACAGTGGCACTGCATGACTACACTGCCTTATTACTAATTTTATTCTAGAAAAACATGCAGTTACATTACTCTGAGTCTTGATCCATGGTGTTTGTCATGTAGCATTGGCATCAAAGTCCTGGCATGGAGCATTTTGCATGACGCAAGAATTTAGGTCTGTTGGGTTTACTCACCCCCTAGCTTCTTTGTGTTGGAGTTTGTTACCCTCTAGATCGCTTTTTTCTTGAGTGTCAGAAAAGGAATATTGGAAGTCATGTTCCTTTCATTTGAGAGGCATTTGTTGACTTGCTCAGTGATAGCCTAGACTTTGTTACGCAGTTGAATTCTCTGATTAACATGACTATGAGGGTAAACAGAAGCTAATTTTTCCTCCTGTGTGCTTCTCTCTGTATTTGTCTCTCCGAGACAAATGTATGCAATCTAGCAGAGATGGAATGGAGCAGGGAAGATGTGGGGACATGCCAACTTGACTTTCACTGCTGCCCCATTGTTGCAGTGCCCTTCCTTTTGCATTTTATGTTTTGGGTGAATCACATTCGTACAGGGAGAAACAGGGAGCATGTTTGCCAGAGTCTCCCTACTCTGCTTTTGAGGAATGTTGCCAACACCTTGCCCACATACTCCTAAAGGATTTCCTCTTCTCTTGGCCAAAGGCTTTGCCTGAGGAGGAGAAAGGAGAGCTCGTGTGCTTTGCTGTGAGCATTCTTGCCGTTTCAGGGGATTCGGAAGAGAAGATGAAGTGTGCGAGGCTACAAAGTTTAGAATTTTGTGCCTAGGACAATTTTTTACAGAGTCATCCTCTTTCCACGTAGAGCTAAGAGAGTGGGAAACTGAAATAAACTTTTAATCTGAACTCTAAAATATATTGGAGCAAATACTTGTAGTTTAATATACAGCATAATGATAGGTTAAAATCCATCTTGTTGCACTGCCGCTTACTGCTGCCGAAGGGAGCCTGTGGCATCCAGCTGTGCTGAGTGTTGTCTTGAGGGTAGCTTAAAAAACCCTAATATTTCAAAGAAGAAATTCACGTGAAAAGCCCTAGCAATTTGTATTAGGCTTGATTATCTGTTTTTCTCTTGATCTTGTCTTTCATGTTTCTCTTCAACTGTATCAGTCATCTTTAAAGGTGCCCAAAGAGCTGCTATGAGATGGCATCTCCTGTTTTGATCAGTCGTGTCAACTCTGTGCCTCGGGAGTTGATTCTCATAACTGCTGCTTAGTACTGCGTGCTTTGAGGATATTAAGTAATGTCCAACATTTGTATTTTCTCATTTGCACAACTCTACTGAATAATATCTTTGTCTTTAATCCCTGACTTTTTAATATGCCTGTTAGGGCTTCTATGTGATTGAATTAATGAGGGCAGTTAGCTACATTTCTAAGTGAATCACTCGGACTGAAATGAATGCTCCCAAATAGGTTAGTTAATACTGTAGTCCAATATCATAGAGGGATCTGTCATACACAAAGCTCTCCTCTTGGTTTGCTGTATTCTGGTTGGTCTTTCTTTATTTTTGGGTATGTATGGAACGTCCAGCCATTTATTTAACTAGGAAGAAAGGCATAAGAAAGATTTCAAGTCTGGGATCCAGAGTCTGTGGCAAGACTTTTATGGCAATAGATTTGTCTATAGAAGGAATGAAGTAACTTAAAAACTGGAAGTGAGTGGAGTGGTATTTTTCCTTCTAGTCTTAACTTACAGGCAACAACTGTAATGTACACCCTGACTGCCTTATTTCCATAGGCTGCCTGTGCTGAGCAATGATAGACTGAGCTCCTTCTTGCTTCCTGCTTCCTTGCTGTGTTTTTGTATGTTCTGAAAGCTAGTCTTAAGGTATTTAACACAGAGTGCGCATTAATTTCAAGATGTTGTAGCAAGGCTGCTCAATTTAAGCAAGCAAACTTTTTTTTTTTTTTTTAATACTGATAATGTGAATAACGCCTCTTAGCAAGTTTCTCTATAGCTGTAAGCTACTAAAATGAGAATGTCTTTCAAATAGTGTTTGGAAGCTATATCTTACAGAAGATAACAGGATTCTGTACATCTGTAAAGGCAGCCCAGTGTTATGAACTCTTCTGCTAGTGGGAGATTTTTGAAAGAGAAATATTATTTTTTTAGGAAGGAGTTCATTTTTAATGCTTCACAGTGAGAAAATGAGTATAGGGATCTTTCTTTTGCTGTTCAGAGTAACCAAATGCAAGTCAATACTCAAACTTTTGTGCAGTGTGGAGTTTTTCATTGATTTAACACTAGGGGGGGGAATTGATTTACGGACATGCAAGAGGAGATGACCCATCTCTCACTGAGTCTCCAATTAGCATGAAGTACATGCTGCTCCTCTGCTCAAATAAGCATCTGTTTCATGCCCAGCCAGCTAAGTGACGTATTTGGAAACGTGGTGTAAAAGCAGTGAGGGGGAAAGGAGAATACCCTGCCTTGATTAAATGATATCTAGGGACTGATGTGGAGTGAAGATTTGCTGGAGTTATCAGACACTGCCTGGCTCTCCACCAGTTTCCTTCCATGCTACAGAAGGTCACAAGCCTCTGCCTTGGATCTTTTGTTAGAGAATATTTCATTATCATCGCCTCTTTCTGCCTGGAGGAAAGGGCTTTGCCATGGGAGTTTTGTTTTCCTGGCCTTAGGCACCAATTAATCAGTTCTGACACCTTAGGTTATAGTTCAGCCACATTGTTGCCATTGTTGGAAGAATTGATGTGAGAACCATGGCTTGATGAAACGGAGCTGTCAAAGGTATTTACTGCAGCTGGAGGCAGAGGAAGCTCTACTATTTTTTTTTAAACCTTCAGGAATCCCCTAGTGAGTTACGTCTACTGATTCTGGTTTTAAAAAATATATTTTTAAATTTTTCCTCTGAGTGCTTTAAAGGTCTCTGGCAGTTTGTATGCAAAGGAGTCCAACCCATGACTGTTCATAGCCTCCAACGTAATACTAATTGTGAACCGAGGTTTCACTTCCTTCCTGGGGAAAGCAACTGTAACTGGACTATTTTTACAGATAATTAACCCGAGAGTCGTATAGCTTAACCCAGGCCAAACAATTGCTGTACTCCAAATCTGTAACATAGATACAAGTCTCATTCACCCAGCCACGTTGCTTTTCTGAATAAACATGCCAGCTTCTGTACTTGGTTACGTTACTTTTAGCCTCTTGGGTTGGAGACCAGATGGCACTCATGAAACCTGGGAATCCTGAAGGCCGGCATGCCAGCGCCGCACCACAAAAACCATGCCGTGTGCTGGTGAAATCTTTCCATACCTAGTTCAAGGGGCTTAGTCACAGGAGGGAACACAAACTGATGCTGCTTCCATTTGTTTGGTGGATTCAGTGTGTAAAATCCGTCTGTTCTGCAGAACTGATGATCCTCTTGCTACCAAAAACTATCAACAAGGTTTGGATCCAGCTACCAAGGGCCAATGTTGATGTGGGGTGTGATTCTGTTGTACGATATGCTTCTGAGTGACAGAGCTAGGGCTGAATGAGCAACCTAAATTCTAGCATTTCTTGCGTTTTATGTGTTACTACCTGTCATCTGTTTGGGGGTGCTGGCTGCTTCAAGACTTTGTTGCAGTGTTGTACATCTCCAGTCACTGCTTTGCATGTCATTGGCTTTGGGAAGCACTGCAAGTTGCTCTAGCTCCATGGCTGTTTGGATGAATTTGGTGGGTCTTGTACCAGATCCTGTATCCAGTTTGATAGTGCTTTGTTCAGGTTTGGAAGGAGAACGCTATGTATGGAAAAAAGAGGAGGTGCTGAAGGGTCTGTAAGAGATGTTTACCCCTCTGCTGTAGCAGTGCCAAAAGCCTGGTAGCTTCTTTCCCCAGGGATGTCAGGGTGATTCTCCCCATCTGCAGCAACTTCACCCCTTAGCTTAGGCTCTATCCCTTTGCCTTAGGCTCCAGTGTAAATTATATAACCAGTGCAGTGTCACTGTGGAGCTGTGCAAAACACTTGTGGCAATATGTCAAACATCTCGCACACTACTCTTTAGAAGGAATATATTTTGCCTCGTGACTGTGTTATTTTTGTAGTTCTTTAAGAAGCCTCCCTCAGGGGAGTATATCTTCTGGTTGCTTAGTTAGGAGGAGAGGAAGGTCACCCAGCTGATAATAATAGGAGTGGAGAGGAGAAACAAAACAGGGGTTCCTCAAGGGAAAAAATACAGCTGATACCTACTCCATTTAAATGGTCACTTACCCTGAGAACTGTTTCTCTACTTCACTGTTAATTTTTTTTTTTGGAGTCTTTGCTCTGAATTCTGAACCAAGTGACGTCACTTTCACCTGTGAAATCCTCAAAATGCCCTGTACTGCTATCTGCTTGTTTCGGCATGCTGGGTAGCTGAGGCACCGAGGTGACTGAGCCACCAACTCCGTTTAGAGCTCTTTTTAGGTTGTGCTTAGGGGAGCTTTCTAACATTTTGCTTATGCTTTGCAAGGTATGTTCAGATTTGGGTTGGGTTTTGTGAGGGGAGGGGATGTAATATTAACTCCCAAGTTATGTCAACTTCTTTGTACATGCATCATGCATGTACTTTCTATAGTTGGATCATTTGGAATATTTTTGAGTGTATTTGAAGCTCTGAGCAGTCTTATGAAGCTGCTGAGGTAAAGTGACCAGTCTTCCAGTGTGTGTGTGTGTGTGTGCGTGTCATGAGTAACAGCAGGTGCTGAGTTTTAGGACTTTTCCAGCAACAGAAGCACTTACATGGTATCTCAGGGAACTCGTATGAGTTGCTCTGTCAGAGGCTTAGATGCTGTCTTCTGAACTGCTATTGCTGTGAAAGTTACAGGAACTAAACCATTCTTTAGATTTCTCTATCCAAATATGTGGGTGGTTTTTGTTTTTGTTTTGTTTTTGTTTTTTGTATCTGTCCTTCTATTTAAAATAGGGAGCTAAGAAGTTAGGGGATTTCCATAGACAGTATGTGTGGGTAAAGCCTAATTGCTTTAGGAAGCCAAGCTTTAGAAGATGAGGGGGGAGGGTACCATTTTATTCAAGCTACAGTCAGTCCCAGTCTCAGGAACCAAACTGATGGTTTTCTTTCTGTGCCTTTCTCTTTTAGAGTTTTCACAGATGTTCAGCAGTTCCTCAACAACCTGACACATCCCCGCTTCGTGTTCACAGACAGCGAGGGAGAAGCAGACATTCTCTTCAACTTCTCACACTTCAAAGACTACAGGTTGCCACTATTTCTGTGATGATTCTCCTCCCCGCCCCCGCCGTGAAAGTTGTGTTCTGGAAGGCCTGTTTTTCCCCTACCCTGTTTTGTAGGAAGCTAAGTGAGGAGAGGCCTGAGGTGATGCTGAATCAGTTCCCCTGCGAGAACCTCCTGACTGTCAAGGATTGCCTGGCGTCCGTGTCCAGACGGGCTGGGGGAGCAGACGGGCCCAGGTGGCTGCCTCGGACTTTCAACCTCCAGACCGAATTGCCCCAGTTCATCAGCTACTTCCAGCAGCGCGAGAGGAGGTGGTTCATAGTTCCATTCCCTTGGGTTTTGTGCTTTCTTGATCCCACTTTGCTTGAAAAATAACAGCCTGCAATTTGGCATTGGCAACTATTCTGCCACCATATTGTCACAACTTGGGCTTTGCTGCATTTTGTTTATGTTCACATGATGAATTCTGCCTGTAAAGTGTGAGGTCTTTTTAGTCATTTTCTTTAACGAGAGTAATGAGAGTAGTTTGAAATGCCTGTGTGTGTTTGTGGTGGTGCTGACCAGTTTTTGGTCAACTCCTAAGGAGTTGAGTGTTGAAGAGGGAGATCAACAGTGAGAACATGTTAGTCCTGACTGCAAAGATCAGCGGTAGCTGCTGTTGCATTTTTGCCCCTTCATGGCTGGAACCCAGCACTCCCTGCTGCCAATGAAAACCCCTTAGTTCTTGCCTTGTAGCCTGCAGCTTTATAAAGGATCCAGACAAGGGAGGAAGTCCCTAGATGAGCTCAAGTGCATGTTCAGACATGAGGTTGAATGAGGTGGATGCTTACAGGCTTTGGTGCTCTTTCTCCCCCTCTCTTTCTCAGAGGAGAAGACAATCACTGGATATGCAAGCCGTGGAACTTGGCCAGAAGCCTGGACACCCACATCACCAACAGCCTTAACAATATCATCAGGAACAGGGAAAGCAGCCCCAAGGTGAGAGAGCATGCCCCCGAGCGCGATGGGAAACGGCATAGCTGCAGAAAAAATGTAGTCGGGGAAGGACGCCTAAAAATACAAGGAAGGAAATCAAGGAAATTAATTTTCTTCAGAACATGTGCTGGCCATAAGCATGCTGCTTCGACCAATTCAGAATTGATTTATATTCAAATCTGACAGCTGTGTTTGCTGCAGTGGTGAAACACTGTGGAGGCAGCGTGGAAGACGCTTCCATGTGTGCTAAAAGGCTTATTTTTTCTTATTTAAAAAAACAAAGCAAACAAACAAACAAAAAAAAAACCTTGCCCTGATACTAAAGATCATACTCCGATGTGTTGCTGCTTTAATGCTAATCCTTAAGCAATATTAAGAGAAGAAGAGTTCACATTATCCTATAGTTACTGCTATTTTGGAACATTATTGCTTTGTCCCCAAGTTGGTCATTATTACTGATCTACTGCTCTGCTCCGTGGCTCGGGGTGTTGTTTTTGCCACCAAAATAGATGAATCTTGAAGTCTTTTTGGGGAGTCTGCAATATGCAGTCATATATTGGACTGTCATCTAAGCTGTATTTCTGCTGGCATTTAGACTGTATATATTTTCTGGAATGTGGAAGTGCACATAGAATTGCGTCTCAGTTCTAGTTCGAAACAGAGTTAATTTTGTATATAATTCCCGTGACCTTATAGTGACTTTCTTTTTTCCTTTAACTGTGTTGTGGTGGTCTTTCTATCCCCACCTCACCACCGAAGGGCTTTGATAAAAGGTTGGTTCTTTGCATAACTTCATGTATTCATACATACTTCAAAGGAAAGACTGAAATGCATGCAAAGATATATTAAGTCATCAAGTTCTAGTGATGCTTTGTTTAGGCTGAGTCATATTAACTGTGGGATTTTTGTTTTTTGTTTTAGGTAGTTTGCAAATATATTGAGAATCCAGTCTTGTTTCACCGAGAAGATGTGGGAATGGTGAAATTTGACATCCGTTATGTTGTCTTGTTGCGGTCCATAAAACCACTCAAGCTGTATGTCTATGATGTGTTTTGGCTGCGCTTTTCAAACAGGTAATTAATTCCTTCCCCTCCTTGGGCTGAAGAGTTTCAGAATTAAATCTGATACCTTGGAAATGAAGGAGTGTTTAATTGTTTTTTCATTGATTAGGGCATTTTCACTTGATGACTTGCATGACTATGAGAAGCATTTCACTGTCATGAACTATACTCCTGGTGTAACATTAAAACAGGTAAGCAATTAGATACAAAATACTCCCTGTCTTCCTGTTGTTAAGTAATATTCCAATGCTGCCTGTGTGGCCGTTGCCAAATAACCTAATTCACGTTTACTTAAACAAGCACCTTGTGTGTGGAAAACATTTGCTTAGAATACTTTCATAGACTGTTTTTCCTGTGGACCCCATATCACCTGTGGCACAAACCTACATCCTGAATATAACCTGTTGATAGCTATCAGTAAAAAGAATTACTAAAATGGCAGCTAATAACTTTCAAAGACTTTATGGTAATTTTCTTTTAATAATAAGAAACACTAGAATAAGGAAGGGGTTCTGGAACTGCCAAATTCCCTGCTTCTCTACCTGCAAAAAAAATTGATGGCCCATTTTCGATCATCTGTCATTTCCAACCAAAGCAGTGTTTGTTGCTCCACTGTTTTAGGTACACTGTGAAGAGTTTATTCCTCTTTTTGAAAAACAATATCCAGAATATCCATGGACAACAGTACAAGTAAGTCAGCGATTCATCTTTCTCATGTAAAGCATCTGTGAATCCTTATTGCTTAGGATGTGCCCAGCTGAGCTGAAGAGGCTGATAGAAATAAGGACTCTGATCTGCTCCTCAAGGGCTCCTCCATTTGAGGAGTTACACGCTCTCAGATTAGACAGTGCAACGGCTGCACTTACCCTGTGGCATATTTAAAAGAAAAGTGACTGGTCTTTTCTCTGTGGCCTGGGTTTTGTTTTGTTCTTAATCTACCATCACTCTAACATCTTAGGGGTAATAAGTCCAGAACCTGGTCCCTGTTCCCTGTTTTTCTTTCCTGACTTTGGGACTGCACTGCAGAATTTCCAGCTGCAGCCCCAACCTTTTCTGTTTGTGAGTGTGGTATTCACACAACTTACATGTAGAGGAGAGGGAAAGCCCAGGAAAGTGTAATACTTCATAATGCTTGAGAAAAGGCATTTAACATTAGAATTAAATCTTATTTCCAGGATTTCCATAGTATTTATGTTTTTATGCTTATAAAAGATAAGTTCATGGATATTGGCAGATGCTAAGCACTTTCATGATGTTGGACTTTAGGTCTAAATGCACCCTTTGGGGCTGTTGCTGGGTGGGTTTTCAGCCATTGGCTTGTCTTTTAAGAAAAAAGCCTTGTGAACAAAATGATGATGTTTGTTGCTTTTTTAGAATTTCTGTATCTCATTTGGAGACATTTTCCTGTCTTTAGGCAGATATTTTTAAGGCATTTGCTGAATTGTTCCAAGTTGCTTCAGCTAAACCTGCACCTCTTGGGATCTGCGATTATCCATCATCGAGAGCAATATATGCCGTTGATTTGATGCTCAAGTGGGACGTCAGCAGAGACGGTGAGAAGCTCCTTTCCATGAAAGTTGATTTTTTTCATACTTTTTAAAACTGGTTTCTTGTGGTCTAAGCATGGCCCAGGCCAGACATCTACCTCTTGTAGGTAGAAAGCAGCAGAGGCTCCAACACAGAAGAACTGCCAGGACAGCAGTTAAGTAACACAGCTGAGTGTTCTCTTTTCCTGTGCTGTGCAGGACTGCAGAGGAGCTCATTCCTTGCGCTTGTGGTTGCTTGAGGCAGCAGTAGAGGCTCTATGTTGGTTGGGTGCTGCTTGTGGCTGCCTCTCCAACTACTGAAACGTTTTCCTGGAGTGAGGTGCTGCAGGAGGAGGTTTTAAGTGGCTCATCATAGAGTGGGTAGTGGCTGTCATCCTCCTCTGAGAAACAGGAGGCACTCGGTTGAGTTCCTCCTGTTCGGATCAGGAGGAGCAAATGTTTGAAAGTGCCTGCTCTGTCTGTAGTGGATGCTCTGAGCTATGTGGTTGCCTCTTCTGAGGAGCTCTTGTATGGGAGAGGCAGACCAAAGCAAGTCTCTTGATACTATCAGTTTCACGAGAGGAGTTGTAGCAAAAGGAGCAAGCTCATCTGCCAGAGCAGGAGCTGAACTGTTCAGCTCCTGTCCAGACAAGGCCTTGGCTTAGTCCTGTGACTGCAGAATCCCTTGGATATATTTTTCTCTGGGATATATTTTCCTCTGGATAACAGTGGTAGACGAGACTTCCCTCACCCCCCAAAGCAAACATACTAAAACAAGTAAAAACATTTGCCCAGGTCATGAAAGATAGCTGTTTTCAGCCATTTTCCTTACTCTCTGACCTAATGTATCTGAATATAGCTTGTATTAAGTCAGTGTTTGCGCTTTTCCCTTCCAGGAAAAAAAATTATGCAGCCTCAGATCCTGGAGGTGAACTTCAATCCTGACTGTGACAGAGCCTGCAAGTACCACCCTACCTTTTTTAATGATGTCTTCAGCACCCTGTTTCTGGATGAAGTAGACAACTGCCATGTGACATGTATTGTCTAGGCAAGGAGGCTTGGCTCCGTAAATGGTTTCCTTTCCAAGATGTGCTTAACAGCAATACTTATGTCAGTTCTATGAGCTGCTTATGCAAATATCCTCCTATACTGGTAACCCAGGAAAAAAAAAAGTGATATCAGAAGAATATGCATAACTATACACTGTATTGATAATCATTTTGTCTGCATTTTCCTTATCTTGCTTAGTTTTATATCACCAATCTGTGTTGACCAAATGTCTTGTTTTATGGAATATGGGAGACCACAAAATAGAACGGTAACTGGAACAATTGGCTTGTTTCTCAGGTAGCCTAACTCATTTGCTGGGAAACATTGTACAGCTTCTCTCTGTCGACATTAAAATTATAATTTACTGAATCATTTTGAGTTAGTCTACTTTTTTTTTTAATCCCCTCTGTTAAACAAAGTTCTGAAATGTTTCAATACATAAATTGAGGTGAAGCAAGGTATTTTAAGGTAATATATATAAAGTTGAGCATGAATCAAGTACATGAAGCTTAGTTACCAAACAATGCTTAGCTAAAGGTCCTGGTATTCTTCTAAAACCTAATAAGCAGATGCTGAAATCTGTGTGTGAAGTCAGTCACCACAAAGTGGTCGTTCTGTTGTAGCGAGATAGTTCTGAGTTCTCTGATTTAGCAAGTGCTGAAACAAAGTGGGAAGGACAGATCTGCTGTTAGCTGTCAGGCACCTCATTCCCTTCTCCCTACACAAAGAAGGCACACTAACTTCCATAAGTAGAATACTTTGCTGACTAAGGACAGAAAGACGGCTGCTTTTGTTAAGAGAACAATACAGTATTTCAGTGCAGTGAACCACTAGGCTAATGAGATGGAAGATTTGAATGGCTCTTATTTTTCAATAAAAAGCTAGGAAGAAAATAGCAGTGGTGTATTGCTGGCTGTCATCCTTAGCCTGCCCCTTAAAGAAACTAGACTTTGGAGAAAGGATCATGTAAGACGTGCGAGGGACAAAATGTCTAGGGACAGCAAGGGAAGGCAGAGGAGGCCTGAAGAAATGAAGCAGATCTGGGAAGCTGCTGAAATCTAAAGCAGTCTTTAAACTTATAAGTTTAAAGAGAGAGCTCAGGATAAATGGACAAATTCTGCCATGTATGCAGAAGTTAAAGTTCTGTTCATCATGAAGTGTGTTAAATAGGCAGGACTTTTTTCTAGATAGTTGCAGCAATCAATCTGCCTGAGAGCAAGGTGCAAATATAAAACTACAGATGTTCTAAATGTTGTTTCTGGTATGCAGTGGGTTTCTGGATGTGCGCATTGAATTTGCTGATTTTTGTCTTGCCTACTGCAATGGTGAGAGGCGATTAAGTTGGGAGTATTTTTGAGGCTAGAGCTTCTCATTGCCTTTAGCATCTTTCTACTTAAAATATAAAAAGCAATAACAGCAAAGACACAAAACTTACATGCAGTTTAATACATTTAGCTGACAGATTATACTATGTTTTAAAGTTGGAAGGCACAATAGTGTAGAAAAAGATCGGATCTTAAACATTTCCAGAGTACAGTGACTTGAGGACAAAATATCCAGAGTACAGTGACTTGAGTGCTTTGCAGCAATAAAGCACTGTCTGGTGGAAAACAGGGAAGATTAAGACCGTAGTCACACTGAGGGCTGTTAGGTGCAGCTTTCTGCAAGCCGTGTTAGCGTACGGCTTGATTTTCTACGTCTGAACATAGTGAAGCTGTAACTTGTGCTCATTTTTTGTTAAAATGCTGTTGTCATAAAAACTGTAATACTGTAATATAGAAAATAGTATTTTTTCTAATCACCATCTTCTGTTGTGCTATAAAACTCACCAAGGTGTGCAGCCCTTTGCAACATCTTTAGTAAAGACACAATTGCTCTGAACAAGCTACTGCTCTGTCAAGGAGTAATGAGCAGTCATTTGGTCTGATAGCATTAAGTAGTTTAGCTAAAACGCACAGGAAGGCCATTTCGCCAGAAAGATCTTTCAGCTGACGTCTTTCTCTTAAGAAAATTCTTTATTCCAGTTGTTTCTTGCTGCGATTGTCCTTCCAGATGCGGTAGTTGAGCGCAGAAGCCATGGTTAGCCAAGCTAAATAAGGAACCATCAGATACGCTGCTGTTCTGTTGATGTTGTACCAGGAAGCAGTTGTAGCTGTCGCTGTACCAGTGGTGAGTAGGAGGGTCACCAACCCCTGCAACACAGAAAGGTGGTTGGTGTTGTTTGACTTGTTGCATTTTCTTGACTAGACAGTATTTGTAAAGCTGCTTCCAAGTGTTTGCACTGGCTCTGGCACTTGGTGGATCCCTCTGACAGCTGATTCCTGCTAAGAAAAGTAGCCCCTCAAAAAACAAGATATTTTTCTGCTGACTTAGTGAGTTGAACTGACTTTTGGGAAGATTCAATAGACACAGGAATAGGCACAAAAGCTGCAACTGGGAGCAGGGGAGGGAGATGAAGATTCCTTCCAGCCCCATTTTTCTGGCAGCAGGAAGCTCTCCATTGACTGTAGCTCCTGTGTGACTTTGAGCAGGTCACTTTGCTAGTCAAACTTCCCCTGTCTTTCTCTTGTGCTTCCTGAAGAGATGTGGGGTGGATGAATCAATGATGGCCTGCAAAAATGTTCCTTTGTTACAGCATTACTTGCATATTCAGTCAACCAGGCTTTTATTTTTATTATTTATTTTTTGGCAAGGAGGATCTATCTTGTTTCTCCTCAGACTGCAGAAATTAATGCTGTCTGATATGGTTACCAATCACCTGAGTAATGTAATGAACCACTCCTATCGCTGCTGTTTGCCAAAGTGGTACCTAGGAATTTTGCTAAGGCAGAAGTGTTTACTTTTAGTCGCACAAAGCTCTTATCAAAAGGTGACAGAAAGAGCTACTTGATATCTAATCATTTAATGATGCTGTACGTAGGTAAATTCTCTCAGGTGGTTACCGGACGCATTGAAGAGCGGCTGGGGCAGATAACTATGGCCCAAGCCATGTTCTGTACCAGTTACGTGAATCTGATTCATTTTTCCTTCCTCTGAGGAAGAAAAAAGAAAACAAGCCCAAACTTACCCTTAGCACCTTGTAAAATGATAGCAGAGGTCTGTGCTTAGGGAACTTGTTTTTCCACTTACCCATCCCATTTTGTGAGCTCCAAAAAATATGGGAGTCCAAGCCCAGTTTAGTGCCAGCTGCCCTGCGTACAGCCCCAGTGGAAGCACAGACTTCTCATTGAAGCCCCCCAGTTCCTTCCACACCAGGTAGGAGCCATATCTGAGGAGAGCAAACACAAGGTGTAATTCTGTGCATGGACTAGAAGGCAACTGCAGTCTTGGTCGTCAGACAAAATGACTTCAGTGTCGTGAGTCTAAATTCATTGTGAAAAGAAGATAGCAGACACTTCCTGGAAGAATAACCAGATGCTAAGGGGTGATCATAGGCTGCAGACAGCAGTATGGTGAGAGAAGAAGTCCCTGTGCTGCCAAGAGTTCTTGCTTCTGGGTGCAGAGGAGATTCCCTGCTGCTTTTCAGTCTTTAAAGAAAACAGTGTATTGAAAGGGAAGCAAGCCTAGGGCTTGAGTGGAAGAGGGAGGTGTCTAGTGAATAAAGTGTTATTCTAGTAATGGGAGGTGATGCTTCAAAATAGAAGGAAATGTATTTTCAAATGGTTGAAATGAAGATAGGAGAGAAGCAGGAACTGAAGTGGGAAAGGACAAAATGAGCAGCAGCCCAAAGATGGGTGAATTTGGTGTTAGAGCACAGTGGGTCCCACAGTCATGGTTCGAAAGGGAGACAACAAACATGAGGGGAACAAAGATCTTATTATTTCTGAGGAAAGGATTAAAAGCAAGCCACTTCCTTGCTGTCCATGGGATCGTGGCTAACTGAAGGATCTTGCAGCCAGGTTGGAGGATTTTGAACAGATTTTCATGCCTCCGAACAGTGTGCTGAAATGGGACCAGCAAGAAAGTTGCCAAAGACCAGAAGCCTTGGGAGGTTTGCTAACGTGGGGGTTTTGCACTGAACAAGCCTGACTAGAGCAGGGGGCAGTCATTGCACAACAGCATCAGAGCCCAAATCTGCTCCTCTGTGACTTACAGAGCTCCAGTACTTGCGTACAGTTGTTCCCAGGTCTTTCCTTTCAGAACAAGACTGTTGTGTGCCAGCCCGCTAGGGAACCGAGTATCGAGCACGGGCATGCAAGCTTGTTATCTCTTGCTTTCAGTTTTCTTACTCTTTTCATTATTTCTTGCTTTTAATGTATTCAAGAGATTCTAAAGGAATGAGGGTTGTGGTGGAATGAGGGTGGCGTGACAGGTTACAGAAGGAAAGGACGGGTTATAAGCGCTGAGGAGAGACTCAGGTGCTGCACATCTGGCACATGCCCTAGAGTAGCCACCTCCAAATACACTGATAGTCCCATGCTGTCAAAGTAAGCGACCAGCTGTTACCATTTGGGTTTTTAAATGTTTAGCTTGATATCCAAGTTTATGATGAGGAATCTCTAGCCACGGGGGTTATGAGCTGTGCAGTTGGCACAAAGGAAACACTTCATGGGAAGCCACCGAGCGCTGGTCTCTTTGATCAAGGCATCTTTTACTGAGTCATAGCACAATCATGTTCTGATTCCAGTAATAACTCTCTGAATGTGCAAGAGGGAAGAAAATTTTTTTTAATCTTCTGTAGAGGAAGAATGCAGACAGAAGAGAGGGAACAGCACACAAGGCTGCAGAAATTACAAAGCTTTTCTTGAAAGAAGAGGAAATCAAGAGTAGAGCAAGCGTGAGCACAAGAAAGCTTTGCATTCAGATACATTTTCAGGCCTACATCACTGCTCTATTTTGCATCCAGCTGTGGTATTTAAGTTAAGCAGCAGGGTGCCTGTGTGCTCTCAGCTTGGAAAAGAGCCCATCTCTCTGAAACTTCCTGTAGTTAAGCCAGAGGGGTAGGGCAGCACAACAGGTAGAAATCACTTAAAATGCAGCAGCATAATGGAAGAGATGGCAAGGGAAGAGTATAAAATGCATATTGTGGCCCTGAATTATCACTCGAGGGGAAAGTAAAAGCACACTGTGTTGCAAGGCTACTTCTGGAGCAGTCTGAGGGACACTGTGACTATTAGGCATGTTCTGACAATCCCCAGGAGCAACCTACCTCTACAGAGGTCTTTGCTCCATCTTACTAAAGCAACAGCTGCCAGAAGAGTAGTAGTAGCTGTTTAAGGAGCAGCTGTGAGGATGGTATTTGGCCCCACGATAACTGTTCACTTGTCAGGAATGGCTGTATTGTCATGTATTTTAAATTAGTTAAATAAGGCAAGTGTTGGTTTCACATGTGTAGAGTTTTGCAGCCTGGCAGTTTTACTTGAAAAGACAAATGTGTTTGTTTTGATTTTGGCTTCTTTTAAGCAAGCTCTGTTAGAACATCTCCATCCCAATTTTTTATTCTTATTATTTTAAAGCTACCAAAGGGTGTATGTAGAAGAAATCCCGGGGCTGGCTGGCTCCACCGCTGCACAGCTTGGCAGGTCTCCCCCTCAGAGGCTATGAGGAAAGCTAATTAATGGCAGCTTTGCCAACTCTTGCTTTTGATACAGGCTTTTTTGCATACAGAGCAATGTCCTATCAAACCCACGCAGGGCTCCCCAGACGTGTCTCTACCTGCTGAATGGGTAACTTGACACAGTTTCTTACAAACGCAGGGAAAACAGTGATAGAGTTTTCTGATCCGGCACAGCAAGAGACCTGTGAGACCAGGTAAGTGCCTTAACACAAGGTGGAAATCGTACCCCATAGATGTGTAGAGGGTTCCCCAAACAGGAGCAAAGACCCAGTTGGGCGGCCGCCAGGATGGCTTCTCCAGAGATTCGTACCACAGAGGGATCTGCTTTCTGGTGATACTGCTTCCTAAGAATCCTCCTGCATGGGGCAGGAGTGTGAAACCCATGGCTGGGACCCAGCCCGGTGCCTCTTCCATTGGGACGGTGAATCTGAAATGAGCACAAACACCTTGTTGGCAAAGGGCAAGGTGGTTTTAAAGTGAAGCTAGAAAAACATGCCATTTTTAGCAAATTTAAAAACATATGTACATGTGTGACCCACAGCCTAGTCTTATCACTGAGGGCAGTGGGAATTAATGGATCTTGAATGATGTTCACAGGGCAGTATTTGCCGCCCACAGGAGCCCATCACTTTTATCCTGTTTTCTTTGGGCCTTAAGTTCCCCTAAGCCTCGTGCAGGCAGGTGAGCAATTTTTACCTCCCTAAATATTCCCTCCCATAAATAAGTAGGCCAGAGGAATAATGCAGTTTGATATTACACAAGTTGCACTAGGAAGGTTTAAAGACTTGTATTTCTGTATCCGCCGAAGCGGAGCGGTCTCGGAGGAACGGTCTGCGCGAGGGCAGGGGCAGCGCGTGTGCTGGCCTACCCGCCAGCCAAGTGACTCACACGGGCAGCGTACGTTCTCCCTAGGCCGCGTAAGGTCTCCCTAGCAAGCTCCCTGGCCCATATCCAAAGGCCGCAGAGGAGGCTCCATGTTTTTGGCTTGCTAAACCGCGAGCCGAGGGGAGGTCTGATGAGATGAGCGGAAATGGCATGCCGTGTTTTTCCAATACACAGGAGCCAGATACACGCAGTTCCTGTTCATCCGCGATGCGGCAGGCAGAGACAGCGGGGAGGAAGCATAAAAGATACAGCGAGAGCCCAAGGAAGCAAAGGGGAAGCGGCACCCGTGCAAGCAGGAGCAAGGGGCTGGCCCGAGGACAGCATCCGAGCGCAGAGACGGGGAGCGGGGTGAGGAATTCCCGCTTTACCAGCTGTGCTCAAACCAGCAGCAGACTGTGCAGGGATGACGTTCCCGCGTCGCCGGTGGTTCTGCTCGGAGAACAGGAGCTTAGCGGGCGAGGGGGCCCTCCGGCGTCACAGGTCGTGTCTGCGCGCAGCGCTGCGGAGCCGAGGGCAGACGCGATCCCGAAGAAATCCCGGCGACGGAAGTGGGGTGAGACTGTGAATGCAGAAGAGGGTGGAGGGCCCGGAAAAGCTCACACGACTGGGAGGTTTGCCAGGTGGAGGCAAGAAGGGACAGGCCTGCGCAGAGCCCGTGCCTGAGCAGAGCACGCAGCGAAAGGCAGCAAACAGCGCAGGGGGGCGGCAGAAGTGGCACAGCCAGGAGATCCCCAGAGGTTACATTAGACACTTAACGCAGTAAGATCTCCCTTAAAAGGACAAAACAAGGACCAAAAGGACAGGACATTCTTTTATATTGGGTTATTGGGTTTCATGCTTTGTTTGGAAGTATTTGTGGCAGGGTGGTTTCTAGGATATATTAAACAACTGAGCTTTGCCAGGTGGTTATTTCTGCTGCCAGCTTCTCCCTGAAGAAAGTGTGAAAGTGTTTTGCTGTTTGAAAGCGCTAAATGCTCCCACAGTGAAAAGACACTACAGTCATTAGTGCAGAGGTGACATCATGGCGAGTCCTGTCCCTCTGCATGTTGAGGCTGACACGAGGAAGCTAATCAGGCAGGAAGGCAGGAACGGGGAAAGTGAAGCTCTTCCTGAGCAGAAAAAGGCAACAAATAAAAGCAACGAGACTAGACGCACCATCTTGAACTGAATTCTGGCGTCCCCTTCCTTTGATGACCACGACTACTAATTACATAGTCTGCTTCCCCATAGTATTTCTCAAGCAAGTTCCATCTCTTGCAACACATGGAAAGACATGCAGCAATATCAAAATGTGCTGGCAGGCTCTGCCTCGTAGACCACAGCCGTCAGCGGTGGGACAAGTCGACAAAAGCAATGAGAAATGTTCAAGAGAACAGATAATGCTCTATAAAATCTCACCGTGGGGTCGAGAGAGTGAGGAAAATGCTGCAGCCCTGCATGACGCACTGCGGGCCTCAGAAATGCCTGTGCAGACAAGTCTGTGCTGCAACCTGTCACCACGCGCTGCCTCCTCCCACTGCTATCCCACATTCCTCGCTAGAGGCCCAGGACGTTTTTTGAAAGCAAGGTAGGCCCAGAGATTGTGAAAGACTTTCCTTCTTTTGGTGGAGCAATTTATCCAGTGTAATTTTAATTTAATGTGCATGCATTTAGGCCTGCATGGCTCTCAAGTCTGTTTAACTATGCTGCAACAGCTAAGATCATATTTTGCAGCAACTAATACTGGGGTATTGTTTATAGCTGCCAGGGAATTAGGCACCCTGGCCTTCCGGGGCTGCAGAAAGGCGGATTCGGAACGGCCCTAACTCAGCTAAGGGGGGAAGGATGGATGTGATGGAAGGACACAGCAGAACAGACCCCACTGCATCCTGCAGCCACCTGCTTTGCTGGCTCACAGAGGTGCAGGGACCTACCTTTGGAAACATCCAACCTTACGTTTTCCTTTACTACCTGTTTTCTCAGACGTGCCTCCTTTGTAGTCAGTGTCTTACCACCAACGCACCAGCGCCTCTGGTTGCGCCGCTCTTGCGCAAGCTACAAATAATTACTATGTTCCCAGCTGTATCCCAGCTCAATTTCAGGGCAAGAGCTGGTTGCAGAACGTTCTTGCATCCCAGTTTTCCCTCTGCAGACTGTGTTCATCGTGGGGCGGTGCCTGCAGCGTGCCCAGCAGGTAGTACTAGCCCTGCAGCGGGCCCTCCTGGGCTGGGGAGCGGGACGGGAACCTTCCCCTCGCACACCGAGGCTTTTCCCCAGAAGGAAGGACGGCTTCTTTCACGGCATCCATTTCCACCCGTTTGGATAAAGCTCCGGCTAATCCCTGCCTCGTGCAAGGCCCTGCTGGCTACCACGTCACGTGCACTTTAAAGGGCCAACACCGCATTAAAAACCCAGGGGGAGGCATCTTGGTGGGGCTAAAATGACCTAGGAGGTCGGGAATTGCTTGTCCTGGCTGCTTTGAGGCAGAGCAAGAAAGCTGGGAAAGCGCCAGCACGGAGCGCAGGGGTCACCCGTCCCGCTCTCCCCGTCCCGCTCCCCCCGTCCCGCTCTCCCCAGATTCTTTAGAGGGCAGGAGGTGCCCGGGCTGGCACAAGCCAAGAGCCGACGGCCCCCTCCGGTTCTGCCCCGGATCAGCGGGGTTCCCTTCGTCAACGGAGGAGCAACGTGCGGCCGGAGCAGCGGCGCGTCTCCGTAAATGTCATACCACTGGCTGCAGCCGCGGGGATGTACTAGCGCTATATGTACACATATATTTTTATATGCACGCATATATATCTATATGGATGATATGTGTGTATATACGCGCACACCCCCTGCATACACTTGAACAGTGTTTACCAGCCAGCGCCTGGTGCCTGCAGCTTCCCCCAGCTCCTTCCTAGGAGAGGTATGTAAGTCCCACAGCACATATATGCATATTATACCTATGGATTGCACACATAAGCTACAAAGAAGTGCAAAAACTATATAAAACCATATAAAACAACATCTCTATGTTATTACAATATTGTAATTATCTCTATATATCAATATATAGTATTAATACAATGTATAAAAACATTGATATTTATATATAAAATACGTATTTTAAATATAAATTATATCTATTTCCTCTTAACCTATACATATAAAGTTAAGAGCAAGCAGGGGTGCTGTCAGCCGCGTCACTGTTAACCAGCGGAGAGCCCCTTCCCCCAGGCCCCTCCGCGCCTCCCCGTCCGCCCGTCTCCAGTCGGGACCAGAGCCGGGATCGGGAT